CCCCCCCCACACACACACACACATGCACATGCACACGCGCGCGCGCGTGCGCCCCGGCCACAGAGAGCAGGCCGCCGACGATAGCCTCACGGGCATGATTCGGTCCCGGGCCAAGGCCCGCTTCGAGGAGATGGTCGCCTCGATCGAGGAGCGCACCCTCGGCCCAAGGAAGAACCAGGCCCAGCGCCGGCTGGCTGATCGGCCGACCGCGGCCGCCGGCCGCAAGAAGACCTCGCACGAGGAGATCTCCGAGGAGGAGTTCATGCGGATCCGCTCGCGGCTGGAGAAGAACCAGCGTGCCAATCAGCGCAAGCGCCAGGCCGGACTCGGGGACGAGTAGGTGCATCCGGGGCCTCTCCCTTGGTGGCTGGTCTCCTCCCGCCCGCCCGCCCGCCCGCCCCCTTTTCCTGCGCGGCCCTCCCCCGGGAGCGGGAGCCCCCCTCCGTCTGAGAGGCCAGGCGCGGGCGGGGGTGGGGAAAGAAAAGAAAAAAAAGCATCAATACATGACCAAACACACACACACACACACACAAGTCCACAGGCTCTCCGTGGGCAGGCGCCGCCGGCGGAGCACACGGACCAGTTGGCGAAGTAGTTAAGTGCAGGAGGATTTAACTCAAATCCGAGGCGGACGCCCGCGCGGAGAGCGGACCGGCCCCCGCACACACACACATCCTTCTCGGCCCATGTCCCCCCGCGCAGGCGATCTCCACCCGTGCCGGCCGCGCAGCCAGGGGCACACCTGGAGCCAGCCCTTGGGCCTTTTTTCTCGTCCCCTGCGCCGTCGCGCCCGAGGCATGTTCTCCCAGGCCCTCCGCCCCCAGTGACCAGAGAGGGAAGACCGGCGAGCAGCCGCCTCGGCGCGGCGTGCCGCGCACCACCCCCCGCCCGACCTGGGCGCGGCCTCCCCTCCCTTGTGCGGTCTCTCCTCCCCCAGTTGCAGGCCCCTCTCCCCGCGGAGAGAGGGGCGCGGCAGGGAAAATACCCAACTCTGCCAGGCCAGTGCACACGCACACACACACACACACACACACACACACCCAGCAACAGCGCTAAACACACACACACACGCACACACAGGGTCGCCCGGGGCCCAGCCCAACCCCCCCCGCACACAC